ATATGATTTACTATGTCCCATAACTTGATTTTCAAGGCAAAACCTCCATTTATTCTCTGTAGCTCATTATCTTTTTTGTACCTTCTAATTTTTAATTCTTTGATAAATATATATAATTCGGATGTTTAGTTTTTAACAGTCTTAACTCGATAGAAGACGTGCGAAAGTTAGATCAAGAATCGTTGTACAATGAGTTTAGAAAAACTTTTACCCTGGCGAGCAACAAAGCAAAATCAACTGCCCTCGTCTTCAACTTCGCACGCAAAAGCTGCTACTATACCCTCGGAATTGATCCTACAGATTTTTAAATATGTAACATCTACTGCCGACCTTAAGTCTTGCATTTTAGTATGCAAATCATGGTGCCGGTGTGGAGTTGAACTGTTATGGCATAAGCCAGTTTTCACTAGCAATGCATCCCTTATTAAACTGCTGATTACCCTATCACGTAGTACTCAAACATTTCAATACTCTCTTCTCATCCGTCGTCTTAATTTTTCTTTTTTGGGAGAGGATATTAGCGATCAAATTCTTGCCCGACTGAGCTCCTGTGAAAGATTAGAGAGGCTAACTCTTGGAGGTTGTAGAAGGTTGACGGATATAGGGCTTTTGAAATTGCTAGAAAAGGCCGATGGTCTAGTGGCTTTAGACGTATCAGACATTGAAAATCTGACGGATTCGGTAATAGAACTTGTCGGTGAACGATGTCGACGATTACAAGGTTTGAATGTGAGCTTGTGCAAAAAAATTTCTGATAAGAGCATTATGATGGTAGCTTCAAAATGCAGAAGTTTAAGGAGGGTAGGTAATCAATTATTTTTTTCTCATATAAATAATTTTATATACGCATATATTGTTTATTAATTTGATACAAGCAAATTTATGAAAAGAGAATATTGGACGAATTTGATCATTGGTTTATTGTATCTTTTACTTTTCTTTCAGATTAAGCTTAGTAATTGCGAAAATATTACCGACGAATCTGTTGTTGTTTTGGCTAAAAATTGCCCACACCTGTTAGAATTAGATCTTACCAATTGTAACCAAATAACCAATAAAGCAATCAAACCGGTTTTTGAAAATTGCACACAATTGCGAGAACTCCGACTTGCTTGCTGTGCACATCTCACCGATGAATCATTTACAAGAACAGCGCCATCGTTATTCGAACAACTACGTGTGCTGGACCTTACATCATGTAATCTTATAACCGATCAAACGCTTTTCAAGATTGTCAGTAGCGCACCTAAATTACGCAATCTCGTTTTGGCCAAATGCGTTAATATCACAGATGAAGGAGTATATCATATTACTCGGTTGGGCAAACACTTGCACTATCTTCATCTAGGCCATTGTTGTCGTATCACAGATCATTCAATAACTCACTTGGCTCGTCATTGCACTCGTTTACGATATCTTGACTTGGCATGTTGCAACCAACTTACTGATGCGTCAGTTTTTGAACTTTCTAACTTACCAAAACTGCGTCGAATTGGATTGGTGAAATGCGCTCTCATCACTGATCAGGCTATCTTTGCTCTAATTGAAAATCGTGTTGTAGCTCATACTCTCGAACGTGTGCATCTGTCGTATTGTGTTAATCTTACGATCAACGCAGTGTTAGATTTAATTAATTTTTGTTATCGATTGACACATTTATCTCTTACCGGTGTTCATGCATTTCTACGTCCAGACGTTCAGCGCTTTTGTAGACCACCACCTAAAGAATTCACCCCTCATCAGAGACAAGTGTTTTGTGTTTTCAGTGGCAAAGGTGTAAAAGATCTGAGAGCATATCTGAACAATACGCTTATTGGACAACAAAGAGGTCGCATCACTGGTGGAGTAGGTAATGTGGAGGACCAAGTTGTGCAACAACCCATAACGACTGGTGCTGATATTGAAGATTCTGTAATATCTGAAGCAGAAGGTGTTGGTGGTGACATATCCGAAGGCGGAGAAGGCGATAACGATACAGGACGTAATAGAAGAAACAGTAGGCACCGTGGTTAATGATTGAATCAATTAGTAAAAAATTTATAAGCTTAGCCGAGTCGATAATTTTGATACTGCTAAGCTGCTTAGTCGGATATTATCTGCCAATAATATTCAAATTTTGAACTATATAAACTATAATCCGGAAATTCCCGCTGATCATGCTCGTATTTTATTTTTTGATTTGTTAACTACATTCGAAATTCACAGTTTTTTTTAGAGTAAAATACCCTTATCGTTATATGTTGCGGGCCACATGCACGAATTTTATTGGCTAATATTTTACATATAAAATTGTTTTATTTTAAGTAAAGGTGAAAATTGATATATTAGATATTATTTGCATAAATAAAAAATATAAAACGTCGATAATGTTTCTGAGGTAAAAAAAAAAAAAAAAAAGAAAAACAAAATCGGTGTGAAATTTTTAAAGTCCAATAGCATGATAAAATTTCGGTTTTTTTATTAGTTAACCAATTTGGTTTTTTTTTTTTTGGTATTAAGGGTGAGGTCTTGCTCATATCTTTATTAGTAATTTTAAGAATAATAATTACATAGAGACTATATAAAAATACTACTATTTGTACAAGTACAAATAAAAATAAAAATAAAAATTATATGTAAGAATAAAAGCTCAGACAGATTAAATGTAGTATAGCTTATCTCTTTTAAAAAACATATTAAAATTAGTTATTTTATATAGTTATTTATTATATTTATATTGTAATTAATATTTTAATTGATATTTTTTTTCCAATTCGGCTGTCCTGCCTTATTTATTATGGTACCAGTCTTTCAAAAATTACAATAACTTTATCTAATAACTATAGAGGTACAACCAAAATAAGACTTACCCATGTAATTTTATACACTAAATGTGATCTGCCTAAGTAGCTCTTGACCTCCCTCAGAGTTCTTAATTCACTAAAGACTTTTTTTCATTGTTTATCGGCTGGCAGCTACCCACTGCATCAAGAAGCAAAATAAGAAAAAACATAAAATGAACTAAAAAAAAAACAAAGATATAGGGGAATATGATGAAAATATATAAATATGAAAGAAAAGGTAGTAAAGAAATATCAAAAAAAAACATAACAAAAAGCAATTTTGCCTATTCTAATGCTACTATTATAAGCCTGTGGGTAGCTTGAAAAAATTATATACTGACTAGACAAATTAGTCTCTACTTCTATTTTTTTCTAAACTAGTATGCGAAAATAAAAATCCAATAGGCAAAATTTTATCTACCAACTTATTAAGGTAGAGAGGTTGGAACAGAGTCTTGGAGCATTGTTTGTACAGATATCTATTGCATTCGAAACATGTATATACACATGTTTGTTGTCATGTTCTGATTTGAAAGATAAACAATGCCAACTTGTGATGTCAATTATTTAGAGAAGTAAGCTAAAATGCTCACTTTTTAAAAAATTTCTTTGAAAAAAAGTGGTGGGCCAATGAAGTTCTTCTTGTAAGTTTTATAGTTATATAGTTCAGCTTCTCTATTTCTACCAACTTAGAAGTGTACTTCTACAGACTTGTTTTCAGAATAACCCTTTTAGTTTAAATGCTGAATACCTTGAGGAGTTGTCAAAGAAGAAAAAACTTGACCCCAAAGAAAACTGTCTGTTGCCTACTCCTTGGTATTTTATGTCTAGATGCTTAGACTTCATTAATAACAAGTTGCTTCTACTTATAGGACCAAGTTTAGTATCTACTTTGTTACCTTCCTATATATTTTGCTATAATTTAGTTTTTGTTGTTGTTAATTAGAAAATCATTAGAAAGAGTTGATTATTTTAATTGATATTAAAAAACTAATTTAAAATTTCTATTATAATATAAAGTAATTTATTTAAATATTTTTAAAGATTTTATTAAGAGGTAAGTTATATTATATTTAATCTGCTTAGACATATTTATTTGTGATTTAAACTTACTAGAATGGTTAAAGACTTATCTAGGTTATTATTATTTTTTTTTTTTTGGCTGTTTTGCCACTTTTATTGGGATTAAACTATATTAAGAAATTTACATTCCTAATAATAGTTATAACTAATTCACCTGTAAAGTGATGTATCCACACTTTCACCAGGTATAATTTGCCTCAGTAGACTTCAAGTCTCTTTCTGGGCCTCTAACTTACTAGAGGTTATCCTTTGGTCATGAGCTGGTGCCACATACTATATCAAAGTTAGCTTTCCTTTTTCCAACACAAAGTACAAACACAAATATAAAGGGCAAAATAAAATTGGGGAAGTACTACAGCATTGAGTTCTG